ACCACAGGAATTAATGTAGAACAAGAGGGAAATTTGACACTCATTTCCATGAGTTTGTGATTTCACAAAGCACTTAGCAAGACCAACTTCTGAGGTTCAAATTCAGTTATGAAACCTAACTTACTTTCATTAAACTAGGGGAAGTGGAGTACCTATACAATAGTATCAATGTCAAATTTTGGCTGCAAACCTTGTTTGACAATTCACTTTTATCAGCAGCTTCTTAATGCAAAAACACATGTTTTTGTACATCTGAATAAATCTAACCTTGGTCCAGTGAAGGGAGGCAGAACTAGGTGGATAGAACATACAAAGACACTGGGAAAAAACACCCTTTTCCAACAACCTAAGAGGCGACTCTACACATGGACATCACCAGATGGGCAACACCGAAATCAGATTGACTATATAATTTGCAGTCAAAGATGGAGAAGCTCTATCCAGTCAGTAAAAACAAGACCTGGAGCTGACTGTGGTTCAGATCATGAGCTACTCATTGCAAAATTCAGACTTAAACTGAAGAAAATCGGGAAAACCATGAGGCCATTCAGGTTTGACCTAGATCACATCCCTGATGAATATACAGTAGAGGTGAAGAATAGATTCAAGGGTCTGGATTTGATAGATAGAGTGCCTGAAGAACTATGGACGGAGGTTCGTGACATTGTACAGGAGGCAGCAATCACCACCATCCCAAAGAAAAAGAAATGTAAGAAAGCAAAGTGGCTTTCTGATGAGGCTTTACAAATAGCAGAGGAAAGAAGGAAAGCGAAAGGCAAAGGCGAAAAGGAAAGATTTACCCAACTGAACGCAGATTTCCAGAGAACAGCAAGGAGAGATAAGGAGGCCTTCCTGAATGAACAGTGCAAAGTAATAGAAGAAAACAATAGAATGGGAAGGACTAGAGATCTCTTCAAGAAAATTGGAGAAATCAAGGGAGCGTTCCATGCAAAGCTGGCCATGATAAAGGACAAAAACGGTAGGGACCTAACAGAAGCAGAAGAGATTAGGAAAAGATGGCAAGAATACACAGAAGAACTATACAAGAAAGACCTCGATGTCCTTGACAACCACGACGGTATAATCACTGACCTCGAGCCAGACATCCTGGAATGTGAAGTTAAATGGGCCTTAGAAAGCATTGCTAACAACAAAGCTAGTGGAGGTGATGGTATTCCAGCTGAGCTATTCAAAGTCTTAGAAGATGATGCTGTTAAAGTGCTGCACTCCATTTGCCAGCAAATTTGGAAAACGCAACAGTGGCCACAGGATTGGAAAAGATCAGTATACATTCCAATCCCAAAGAAGGGCAATGCCAAGGAATGTTCAAACTATCGCACAATTGCACTCATATCACATGCTAGCAAGGTCATGCTCAAGATCCTACAAGCTAGGCTTCAACAGTACGTGGATAGAGAACTGCCAGAAGTACAAGCTGGGTTTCGAAGAGGTAGAGGAACTAGAGATCAAATTGCCAACATTCGCTGGATTATGGAGAAAGCAAGAGAGTACCAGAAAAATATCTACTTCTGCTTCATTGACTATGCTAAAGCTTTTGACTGTGTGGATCACAACAAACTATGGCAGGTCCTTAAAGAGATGGGAGTACCAGACCACCTCACATGTCTCTTGAGAAACCTGTATAAGGGCCAAGAAGCGACAGTTAGAACTGGATATGGAACAACTGATTGGTTTAGCATAGGAAAAGGAGTACGACAAGGATGTATATTGTCGCCTTGCTTATTTAATATATATGCAGAGTACATCATGCGAAATGCTGGCCTGGATGAATCACAAGCGGGAATTAAGATTGCTGGGGAAAAGATCAACAACCTCAGATATGCAGACGATACCACTCTAATGGCAGAAAGTGAAGAGGACCTAAAGAGCCTCTTGCTCAGGGTAAAAGAGGAGAGCGCAAAAGTGGGCTTGAAGCTCAACATCAAAAAAACTAAGATCATGGCATCCGGCCCCATCACTCCTTGGCAAATAGTAGGGGAAGTCGTGGAAGTGGTGACAGACTTCACGTTCCTGGGATCCCAGATCACCGCAGACTGTGACAGCAGCCATGAAATTAAAAGACGCCTGCTCCTTGGGAGGAAAGCGATGGCACTGAGACAGTACCCTAAGACCACAATTGTACCTTTAAAGATTGACTACCTCTTTCAATAGTCTTTCAGTAGTCATGTATGGCTGCGAGAGTTGGACTATAAGGAAGGCCGAGTGCCGAAGAATAGATTCTTTTGAACTATGGTGCTGGAGAAGACTCTTGAGAGTCCCTTGGACTGCAAGAAGATCAAATCAGTCAATCCTAAAAGAAATCAACCCTGACTGTTCCCTGGAAGGCCAGATAATGAAACTGAAGCTCAAATACTTTGGCCACCAAATGAGAAGGGAGCACTCACTAGAGAAGACCCTGATGCTGGGAAAGATTGAAGGTCAAAGAAGACGGGGACGGCAAAGGATGAAATGGTTGGACAGTGTCATAGATGCAACGAACATGAAATTGAGCAAACTTCAGAGGACGGCAGAAAACAGGAGGGACTGGCGTGATCTTATCCATGGGGTCGCGAAGAGTTGGACTCGACTGTGCGACTGAACACTGAACAACAACAACAAATAATATATTCAACATCCAGTGAGTGTTAACATATTGTGTAAACAGGAATGATACCCTGAAAAATGAGAAATATGTCTGGCACTGTCCAAACTAGCTTCTGAATTGGATCTTGCTACTGTTAGTTATTAAACATTTAGTTTTGTTTTTAAATAGACAAGTTGCCTTATTATATATTTTTATTTAAGTGTTTTAAATAGAGATTAACTACTAAGACAAATTTAAGTTTTCCAAATATATAGCCCACATGGATAGGGTTGCCAGGTCTTGTTCCTCCGGCGGGGGGGGGGTGGATTTGAGGGGCATTCCGAGGGTGGGTGGGGACGTCACACAATGTCCCTGACGCATTGATGTCACCTGGAAATGATGTCATTGCATTGCGTTGGGGGATGCTATGGTATTTTTTTGCCCTCAAAACCATAGAGTTTGCCCAAATGCCAGAGCATCCCCGACATCCTCAACGTGATGTCGCATCATGCTTAGGGGAGGGTTTTCCCCCACCTGCCAGCTGGTCCACAGCAGAGAGAAGCCCCCAAAACCATGGCTGGCAACCCTATACATGGAACTCAGGGAATACTTCTGTTTGGAATTGTAAAGGATTATTTTTATTAATATATATAAATATATAAAAAAACCCATCTCCAGTGCACAAAAGACTACCCTGTCATTCACCTCTTACATCTCAAAATTAAAAGTGTCTGCAGGATCAAAGAAATTGTGGAATACCCACGCCACAGTTTGTGAGAAAAACCTTGTCTTACAAAGCAGTTCACTCATTGCAGATATACAAAATGAGGACTTTCTCGATTTTTTAGGCTTCCGGCCCTCATTCAGCCAGGAGGATAGGAATAAAGATTGCATATATTTCACTTTTCCCAAAAAAATTCCATTTTTTTCCTACATAGAATGGGAAAACCAGAGTTTTCCCCATGGCTTCAGGAAATTCTACATCTCTAGTTTGCTTCCAGCATATTCAGCTTTCACCCAACCCCCCAGTTTTACCTTCTATTCCTCCTATCTCCTCAGTTCATCTCTCTCCTCCCCATCCCAAGTGCTGACACTGTGGCCTGCTAGCCACCAAGAGCTCAAAATGTAATCTTGTGTGAGAAGTCTGACACCCTTTTCTCAAATAAGCAGACACTGTTTCTAGGATTTTAGGTTTTATTTTTAAAAACCCACAATTTATTTTTAAAAAACATTTCACGTTTTTCTTTAAACTTGGGGCTTCTTTCAGGCTTATAGAAAAATGCCCTCTATCTGAACACAGTTCCACTGTGCAGATCTTTGTATTTTAAAAAAAGATCTCATCTTTTTCTTCAAACTTGGGGCTTCTTCCAGGCTTATAGAAAAATGCCCTCTGTCTGAACACAGTTCCACTGTGCAGATCTTTTGGTCCACACTCTAAGGCCATTGTTCCAAATTAGATATAATAATCTGGAACAGTGCTGGGTGTAGAGCTTTCAGCCTGTGAGTCTGAGGGGATGCGCCTATCACCCATTCAAATGATTTTTGGTATGAGCCTGTGTTAAATGGTGTGTTATGATCTCTGGCACATTCACCCACTAGAGTTCAGTGTATAAAAAAGTTACAGGCTTCATACAAATAGAAAGCCTCTACCTGAGTTTTTATGGGGCCTAAACTTTACTCTCCTTGGATTCTGCCTCTGTAGATTGTGGCTTTTGCACTGTGTAAGATGGACAACTTATTTATGCATTTCTTTCCATTTTGAGCTCAAAACCCTAATCTGTTTTTGTTTCCCAAGATACAAGTATACAGTGTTTTTTCTGTTTTTTAAAAGTGCTAGTGCACATATATAAGGTTGCACCAATTCCCCCCTCAGGGTTTGGGAAAGCCTCCCCGTCAAAAAAAAAAAAAGTGATGGTACTCAGTCCACCACAAAAAAGCCCTGCAAGTATGGTACTCAGTACCACCACAAAAAAGCCCTGCAAGTATATCTTACGTAATTGTACATTTTAATCCAGTTTTTCCTGCAAAGAACTCATGGTAGTAGTCCTTTTTTTCATCATCACAACCATGTGAGGTAACCTGGGCTGAGAAAGAGTGACTTGGCTGAAAGTCATCTGGTGAGCCTCACTTGTTAGTAAGTCTCCTTGGTCCCCAACCCAAAACTTAAACCATTTCACCACGCTATCTCTCACCATCTGAAAAGGATCTAATTAGCATTTTCCAGGATGCAGCTTGAAGCCAAAACCCAAAAGAACCATTCAGAGAAACTCTATTATTTTCCTAAACATTACATAAACAGTAGGCTTTCCTTTTCCTAGAAAAGCACAACCTAAGCTGAGATGTCACCTAACAGGCTTCATTTTTGAGCTCATGCTAGTTTCCTGTTGTGGAGAGTGGGGGAAGGAGAACAACCAACCTGTCCCAGAAAGTGTTTTCTTCTCACGGAGCTCCTGCTGTATAGTTTGATGAGAAAGTTAACCCCTTGCTTGTTCTGGATCACTGGGAAAATCATCGTTTCACCCCATTTCACTCGACTATTGGAAGACTTCAGTAGGCGGGTCTTCTTTTTGTCAACCAGCTCTCCAGTGCTAAACATTGCAGCCTTCACAAAAAAATCTATTGCAGAAGACAGACACAAACTCAGTATTTTAAACACAAATGAAGCCCCCTAATATTGTCACTGGTGGAGTTTAAGAATCAGCAAGTGCAAGAAACATATGCTGAAACACCTGATCCAACCCAATAGCAAAATGTCTTCAGTATGATAGACAGAAGAAGTTGTAGAGAGGAATTTCATATTGTGAAGCTCCTGGTGGGGTTAGTAAGACATCCCTGTGCAGACACACACTGAACCCCTCTTAGGGAAAACTAGCCCCCACCCAATTACCCAAGGGGGGCTTGCCTTTAAACACACTGGTATGTTTAAGTATACCCTTTAATCACCCCACAGGAGTAAATTAAGGGGATAAACTCAGAGTTTGCACTAGAATAGGGTATGCACCTGTATTAGTAGCCAGAGTTTTCCAAATAGAAGCAACCATTCCCTCCTCCACCATTCTTGCTGATATACTAGAAAGCCATTTATTTGGTCCCAAGGAACTTAAGGGGTGTTATGCTACTGAAAACTGAACATTCTCCTACATGCAGTTGTTAGCCAAATTGCCTTAGATTGTTACTTAATATGGGGACTTATGATCTCACTGAAGGCAATAGGCGGTTTAGGGAGCAAGCACCTATGTATACAGGGGTCCCACCTCTTCCAGAAGCATCAGAAATAGACTCTGAGACTGATAAAAATGATTCTGTTTACTGAAGACTGTATCACAAGCACACAATAACACAAGCACATTCACAATGACACAAGCCTAGGAAAATTAGAGAGAAATATAGCACACTTGCATTAGCAGGATGATCATTACCTGTCCTGGGGAGAATGAAACGATTCTTAGAAAAAATGATGGAGACTATGGGTGAGGGGATCTTGTCCCGAACCAGCAGAGACATGTAAGGGCTCTTGACAGTACAAAGCTAAGAGTCACAGGGTGGGTTATAGGTCAGAAGAGAGGGAGATAGAGATAGAGAAAGAGAGAGCTCTAGCTCTTGTGTGTGTGTCCCCCTTTTATGAGGGGGCTTGAAGGGTGGGCTAGGCTTGGCCACCCCCTTGTCGGTCCGTCCCCAAAAACATGCTGATTGGTACTGGGTCCAGGTGGAATGGTCTAAGGGGATGGACAATATTGATATCTTTAGTGCAAACTAGGGATGTGCATTCGGTTCATCCGAACCAACTACACCCCCCAAAATGGCCCATTTGGACCCCTTTCGGGATGCTGCAGGCCGATTCAGATTCTCTGATCTGAATTGGCTTGCCGCCGAATTTCGGTGGCTATTCGGCCCCATTATATCCTATGGGCCATTGAAGTCAATGGCCAAAACATAGGGTATATTCTGGGGGCTGCAGGGGAGGGGGTTAGAGGGAGAGGCTCCAAACTTATATCCTATGGGCCATTTACTTCAATGGCCCATAGGATATAATGGGGCTGAAATTGACATTCGACTGGCCAAAAGACTCCCCTATTGGGCTGTACTGACGAAACTGACATACGGGAGTCTTACTGCCAGCCGAAATTGATTCTGCCCAATTCCGCCAAATCTGAATGGGCTGAATTATTTATTTTTTTTGCACACCCCTAGTGCAAACAGATCTAAGCAGTGGCGCCTGAAGGGATTGTGACTCTTAGGAGAGAGACATTGTTCCCAGATTGGCTTATGGCTGTGGTTTCGGCTAGGTTAGATATTAGGTGGGGGAAGAGAACGTTGTCTACATGCCAGGAAAAGAACTCTTCATGGAGTTTTAAGTCCCCTTTCCTTGGTCTTCTGTCCTGGCATAGCAGTGGCCTGGCTTTACAAGTGGCTGGTGAACAGGTCCATCTTACTGCAGGTAAGAGGGTAGCTGACAGGCAGGAACCATAGGCACATTATCTCAAAGAAAGGCTTCCTTCTTCTGGGTATGTGTCTGTACTGGCATCACTTGGAGTCACCTTACAGTTCAGTCCCCTTTTGCACACAACTAGCAAGGTCCAGTTTTTACCATTTAGGAATTAGGAGTCCATAGGAGCACTTCCAGCGCCTTGCAGGGTAACACAGTCACACCCGTTCCTCTACATAAAACTGCCCTTGTCTCCACTTTTTGGATATGCTCAAATGATTTTTTAAAAAATATACATAAAGTGAACATGGAAGGGGCTGTAACACCAGTTATTTATTGCTTTTCTTATTACTCACACCTTCATGAGTTCCAACAGCACTGGGCAAAGCAATATCCCATTTAGAGTGGAACATGTATAATGTTCTGAAATGCCAGTATTAATCTCAAGAGGAATTAAAAGAGAACAGCCACATTAATTCCAACCACATAAAGCTTAATCTAGCAGGACATCTTCTGGACCTTATTCTGGCATGAGAAATAAGCCTCAAAATAGCACTCCACAGCATAAGAACATGTGAGAACAGCTGAACTATTCAAGATCTACACTTACCAGTTACAAATTACTACAGAAGAACAAAATACAAAAGGGCTGCAGAGACTTACTTAAAGATAATGGTGTGGATGAGCTTGGAAGGTTCTGGGCTTCAAGAATTTGCAACTGGATTCGGCTATTTACTGCTTGAAAACAGGTACCTATTTTCAGTTCTGCAGAACACACCTATAAGAAGCAGAATATGTTCCATTTGCATCTCAACGAAATTTCACAAATCACACAGAGAAGGGTTCAATATATATAGGTGTTCAGAGAAGAGCCCTGTTGACAAGTTATAATGAACACACGTACAATCCATGAACAGTGTACACTTGATTTTTAATGCATGTGTTGAGTAATTCTCATTTTACATTCAACACATGTACAACTGAACATGTGATTTATTTATTTAAACATTTCTATACCACCTTTCCACCCCAACAGAGTCTCCAAGGCGGCAAACATCAGAACACTTCAGTATTAAGACATTTAGCATGTTAAAAAATTAAATCCTGCATTTATCCAGGTACTGGTTCCCAGTTTTATTTGTAAAGTAAAGTTGTACTGGCTGTTTCTCACGAGTAGGTGTATGCATGCAGAGCACACACAAGCCATTTACTGTAACATGCGAACCCAGCTAATGACACACTGAAATACAGACCAAAGAATAGGGCCAACCAAAGTGTTCACGAGGCCCAGTGAGATCTTGCAGTCCTGCCATCCACTTACCATAGAAACCAGAATCAATCAATTGACTCTTCTTTGAGAACTGAGTACACACTATACCACAAAATCCCTACTTAAAACCTTCCCTGTTCCTTTTTTCTTTACAAGACACTCTATGATCTAGGCTACTTGACTGGGACAATCATAACCCTGCCTGACCAACCTTATCTCTAACTATCCATTAAGAATTATTTCACGTAGAGCAAACAGGATCCTACAACAGCTGACAGCAACCCATCAGCCAAGGAATGCTGTATTTCAGGGTCATGATATTTAATGGAGGTTATGGGTGTTTAGAGAGAGAATATAAAAGCTGCAAATGCCATCTGACTCACTTGTAACTGTGTTTGTTACATGTGGTTCAACAGCCCCATAGTAATGGGACCTTCCGAGTTCTAACTATCCTCTTATATTCCACTCTCTTCTCATGTAACATACAATGCTGGTGAAGGAGGTCCACGTCTGCTATCTGACCCTATCTCAGAATGTTAAGGTCTATTAGCCAGGTTATAACTGCTGTAGGGTTACCTCTGGGGATCATCAAGAAATAAGCAGCAACTTGGTACCAGGCTGTGAATGTTATTACTTTTTAGCACTTAGTATACTTCAAGCTCCACTCCAGAATCCCAAACTATACTGAGGACTTCCACAATGAAAAAACAGTTCCATGCTACTTCCAAGATTCCCTTCACCACCACTTACTGATGCTTTGGAAGGAGGTGCTATTATCAACCAATGGTCAGTTTCGTGCGTGCTGAGTTCCCGCAGTGGCAGGGCACACTCTCCTATGGTTTTCTTTCTGGGAGTCAGAGCCTGTACTCTGAACACTAGTCTTGCCGTCTGTAGGAGTTGCAGTTTGATAGCAAAGACAAAGGTTTCCATGAATTCAATATCCTAAAAGGAAAAATAATCATTATTGAATAGATCAAAGTATTCAGTTTAATCCTAACTTCAAACACATTGGGCTGAATTCTGTTGTACAGATCCACACATACGTAGGTGGGATGTGATTTTTCCCGATTCTCTACTCATGCCATGGCCCTCCAAACTCCTCTCTCTTGCTGTTCCTGGTGGCCTCTTATCCCCCAGGAACAGTATTTTAGGCAGCAACAGGAAGAGAAGCAAGAATGTCATGCTCTGAGAACTGAAATCCTACCACCTCTAGTAAATTTGGACAGGATTCAAGCTGCAGAAGACCTGCTTTGTTAGGGCAAATATAACTTACAGAATAAATAACAGGGCTTTTAAAGATCATTAGAAACCCCATATTTTATGTGTAGGATATTATTCTTGCTCTAACCCAACAACAGTATGGAACCATCGGGCCCATAGGGAAAGAATGACTGGGGCACCTTGTTCTAGAACTAGACTTCATAACTTAATCATAACTTAATTCATAACTGAATCCTTCTTCAAAGAAGTCGAGGCTAGTAACCATAACCATTTTTGTAGCAATGAATTCTATAATTATGCACTGTATCAACTGCTTCCTTCTGTCTCTCCCACCTGCACCACTGATTTCATTGTGTAACCCCAACTGCTAGTACTGATAGCAAAAAATAAAAATAAAAATGAAAGTTTCATCTCCACACCGTTCATAGTGAATCTTCACTTCAGGTGTATTTTTTTCTGATCTGAAAAGTTCCAAATGTTCTAGCCTTTTCTTTGAAGAAAGGTTCTCCAATGTTTGATCATTTAAGTTGTCACTTCCTGAACTTTTTGCTGCTTCATAATATCTTGCAGGTGACCAAAACCTCAAAATTAGTGCTGAACTTTTTTTAGGGGGGGCTTCGTTTCCCTGTAAATAATTTCCTGTAGCTTGGTTTCCCTGTAAATAATTTGATTAACTAGTGGGTTAGGGAGAATGCTCCAAGGCTCATGTTGCAAACAGGGGAATGCACATAAGATATTTCAAATATTAAAAACAGGATTTCCTAAAAGTCTGAATGGCTATTGGAAAGTAGGGAGAAGCTGCGCTGCTCATTACAAGTGACATCACAGACAACAACCAATAGAGACACAGTAGGGCTGACTTTAACAGAAGCCTAATAGGCAAAAATTAACAGATAAAGCTTTTTGAGTCATAGAGTTTGGGGAGAGGAGAAAAAAACTTCACTCTGTTTTGTAACTATTAAATGCTTACGAACCCTGCTAGGGGAAAAAAAAAACACTGGTTGCCACCACACACACATTTTTGATGCAATGATTCCCAGAACCTCCAATTTCTAACAAGTAGTGAGGCATGCCACTTTTCATTTGCACTGACTGAACATCAAGTCATGTGACTCTTCCTCTTGACCAAATGAAGACTCATGTTGTTGTTGTTCAGTCACACAGTTGAGTCCGACTCTTCCCGACCCCATGGACCAGATCACACCAGGCCTTCCTGTCTTCCACCGTCCTCTGACGTTTGCTCAATTTCATGTTCGTTGCATCTATGACATTGTCTAACCATCTCATCCTTTGCCGTCCCCGTCTTCTTTGACCTTCAATCTTTCCCAGCATCAGGGTCTTCTCCAGTGAGTGCTCCCTTCTCATTTGGTGGCCAAAGTATTTGAGCTTCAGTTTCATTATCTGGCCTTCCAGGGAACAGTCAGGGTTGATTTCTTTTAGGATTGACTGATTTGATCTTCTTGCAGTCCAAGGGACTCTCAAGAGTCTTCTCCAGCACCATAGTTCAAAAGAATCTATTCTTCGGCACTCGGCCTTCCTTATAGTCCAACTCTCGTAGCCATACATGACTATTGGGAATACCATTGCTTTGACCATGCGGACTTTTGTTGGCAGGGTGATGTCTCTACTTTTTATCATGCTGTTTAGGTTCGCCATCGCTTTCCTCCCAAGGAGCAGGCGTCTTTTAATTTCGTGAGGTCCTGGAGGAAAAATTTAGGCTGCTAGGCAGAAGACTCAAGGCCAGGACCTCCAAAGTAGCCTTCTCAGAAGTGCTACCTGTTCCACTCACAGGGCCGGAGAGACAAGCACAAATTAGGAGTCTCAATGCGTGGATGAGACAAAGACTCATACTGTTCAATATTTCATAAATAAAAATACTGACCGGCTTATTTTGTAATACCCCCACCTATTCCTATACTCAAGAGAGGCAAATCGTCCCCCAAATTACATACTGCTGCTCTCTCTGCTTTATTTTTTATTCATTCTATTCATTCTATTATTCATTCATTCTATTCATTCTATTATTTATTCACTCTACCATAGACTATCCTGCTCTGGTTTTAAAAGCTAAGAATAAATTTGATCTTTATGTTAAAAAGACTGAATTATCACACAGTTCAAATAAGTTTCATCAGCATGTAAAATGGCAAGTTGGAGAACAGTGGCTGAAACTTTTTGTGTAAACAATTAAGTGGATGTGCGGTCAAAGGCAAGTTGCATCCATCCTCCAAATCAGAAATATAACTTCTAGAGACCCTGGGAAAGTTACTAAACTAACAGAACAATCCTAAGTCTACTTAGAATCCTATTCAGGTCTATTAAATTTGGCTTACTCCCATTAAAGTGCACATCATTTCAGATGGGTAGCAGAGTTAGTCTGCAGTAGAAGAGCAAGATCGGGACTGGAGTCCTATAGCACTTTAAAGACCAACAAGATTTCCAGGATGTAAGCATTCAAGGGTCAGTACTCCTTTTGTCGAGCTGCGGTGGCTCAAGTGTTTAAGACACTGAACTGCAGGCTGTGGAAGGCCAGTAGTTCAGCAGTTCGAGACCCGGGTGCCACATAATGGAATGAGCTCCCATCTCTAGTTCCAGCTCCTGCCAACCTAGCAGTTCGAAAGCAAGAAATTGCAAGTAGATAAACAGGTACCACTTCGGTGGGAAGGTAACAGCGTTCCATGCGCCTTGGTGTTTAGTCATGCCGGCCACATGACCACGGAAACGTCTTCAGACAGCGCTGGCTCTTCGGCTTTGAAACGGAGATGAGCACCACAACCCTAGAGTCGGATTCGACTGGCTTTCGAGCAAGGGAACCTTTGCCTTTACCTTACTCCTTTTGTCAGATATCTGATAAGTGAGTTTTGACTCTCAAACGTTTACACCCTGGAAATTTCACTGGTCTTTAAGGTGCTCCTGGACTTGACACCTGCTCTTAAACTAGAGGACAACAACTTTAACAAGGCATCACCGAAAGACAAAAAAAACAGAGGCTAAATAAGGACAGTGATTTATAATGGACAGGCAGTGCCTAGTGAACGGGGACACCTGACAAGACTTACAAGAGAGAAGATCAAAATCAAACCTTCCCTGATAACTGGGCTACCCATTTTGCTACATGGATACCGTGTTTTCTAGAAGGTCTGAAGCAGGTAACTCCTCATCTACCATCCCACTTGTGCCCATGCCATACAGAAACCAAGTTAATTCACACGCAGGAAAACCCCTTCAGCATACGTCACTTACGCTGGAAGCTTCTTTGGCCATGCACTTGAACTGCACTGGTTTAGACAATGTAAGAATTCCCTTGATAGAAATATGAGGGTTTTCTCCACAGCCAGATGGCCAGCTCAGATCTTTACACTGTAATATTCAAAACAGAGAGTGAATTTATTTGGCTGGTCAAAGTAAGTTTTTCATAATGTCTAGCGTTACTCATCCTCTCATTACAGAATGTGATTATCCGAGCTTTTATAAAACCTTAAACTGAAAATGCATCTTTGGCAATTCAGACTGTGAGCACATATAATCATTACTGACTATGCTAATTTGTAATGGGTACCTCAGATACACTTGTAGGAGCCAAGCTTCATCCATGCTGTGCCATAGCAGAGCACTGAAGGAGTTGAGCTAATCACCACAATATACAAAAATGTCAGAGAAGATTAGTGTAAGAAAATAAGGGGTAACGTGAATATGTATCTTCTGAAAATGATACCCATAAGGGGGCCATAAGTTCAGTCACTCAGAGTATGAACTCTAAGTGAACATCATCGTAAGTTCATTCCTTGATAGTCACAGGGTCAAACTGGATGTGGCGGAAATCTGTAATCAAATCACCTGCCCCTTTACATTTCTCTTAAAGCAGCAGACGGTTCTGCAGCATCTTGTAAAGCTCGGAAGGACCTCTGCTTGAGACCCCAGAGAGCTATTGTCCTGATGAACTCTTTGGACGGGATGCACCAATGGTTTGACAGTACATTACATTCCCTCCACCATGAAAGCCTAGCAAGGTTACACAGGCAAACAGCATTAGTCTTCAAAGAACATATGGTATAAAAAGCAACGTACATCATTAGCTGAAACATAAAAACAAAAAATACCAGAAAAGGAAAAAAAAGTGGAACTCAGTAATGGATCTGCTCCTATAAATCTGTCCTGCTTCCATGTACCAGGCAAAGGTTCATTTCACCAGGGGAAAGGGCTAATGTTGAGACCCATTTAAAGTAATGGCCCCATTCCTTTATCTCACTGCATTAAGTAAGTTAAGTAACCCTTGTATATGCTTTGTCTGTCTTTCTAGCTGTGTTTAATCACACACACACACGGAATCGGATGCACCTCTCTTGGTTCAAGACCTGGCTCCTGTGCAGTGGCGTACAGAGTAAGGCAGAAGGAAAGGAAAGGAAAGTGGTCTATATTCAGAAAGATCAGGTCTCCTAATTGTTAATATCAACAAATAAGCTTGACACTTGAAAGTTTTCATACAGGCTGCACTGAACTAATCTGGTTTAGGAGTACAAGTCAGTCTCATGGAGCTCCCTCTTTAGGAGTGGAGGGTGCAGGGTGATGGAGCAAAACCCTCACCAGTCCAAGACCCACCATGGGCTCAATTCCTGGCAACCTGTTAAGCATACTTACTTGCAAGACTGTGATCCATATCTGTTCCACAGAGGGAACATAGTATAGCTTCACATTCAGCCTGCCAAATTCTCGCTCATCACCTGATAACGTAATGGTATCTGGGGATAAATCCAACTCATTTAGAACTTGTTCTCAGGGACTATAAAACAGTATTCAACTCTGTAAACCAGATTTTTTTAAAGGTCTCACTGCTTAAGTATTTCCTCTAAACAAAATAACATATGCCAGGACTTAGTATTATCAATAAGGAAATGAAAGCATTTGATCCAGAGAATGCTACAAATGTTGTTATCCCTATTTCAAATATTTCAAATATGTGTGATTTCATCCAAGTACAAATACAGCAGTGAAGGCTTCTCAAAGTTTCACTGACAAGGTAAAGGTCTTCCAACTCTCCCCCACCCCCACACAGAACTCCTTAGCCTTTAACAGTTGCACAGCTGGCACACAAAGAGATGCATTTGTTTCCCACTGTATGTCTGCAGTAGGAACATTTTCAGCTACTGAGTTTCTGTCATATTGCTATTAAGGACACAGGAACCCTCCTGGAAACTGCTGGCAATTCTAACAGGATAACTGTGAAATGTAGGTCGAATCTGCATTTGCATTTTTAAATCAGTTTCACGCTGCTGTGACTCTGTCTTTGGTCGAATCTGCATTTGTCTTTCCCACCGGTGTCCCAGCCTTCTGACTCCGTCTTCAAAAAAGCTGTCTACATTTGGTTTCGTTTTCACACCTCAGCAGTGCTAGCATACTTTTGTACATCCACATATGTTTATCACCTTCTCGTGGCGGCTCCACTGTCATTGCACCTCCCCACTGCTTTAAAAGAATCTTCTCCAAACAACGTTCAAACAAGCATAGAGAAAGACGGCATCACAGCAGCACGAAACTGATTTAAAAATGCAAATGCAGATTTGACCTTTCTCTATGCTTGTTTGAATGTTGTTTGGAGAAGATTATTTTAAAGCAGTGCAGAGGTGCAATGACAATGGAGTCACCATGAAAGGGCAATAAACATAAGCCTTCATGCAAAAGATGTTGAGGTGCGAAAACGACACCAAATGTAGACAGCTTTTTTAAAGACGGTGTCAGAAGGCTGGGACACCAGTGGGAAAGACAAATGCAGATTCGACCTTAAGGGCACAGAAATTTACCCCAGCAACACAGCAGCCAATGAGAGCAGCACTCTGTACCAGGAGCTATGTACTGGAAAGTGGTTTAAGGTCTGACAGTTGGTGGTTCAGTTAGAGGTTTGGACAGTTGAAAGTTGAGAGTGAGAGAAGCCCTGCTGAAGGCCTAATTTCACAAGAGTGTGAATTAACCAAAGACCTGGTGTCTCCACAGATCTTTACATTCTCCTGCCTGGGCAACAGTATACCAACAGGATTTGCAGGGTCCGGTCTGTAACCGTTGCTGCAGAATGCTGTACTTTACGTTACAAAACTGCCAGGGACTGTTTTCCCCAGGCACATACTGTTTGAAACCTAACATCCCACAATTCCTTGTTAAGTGTTAGTATTTATCTCAGTTGTATGTTTCTTTCAGTTTACTTTTAAAAAGCAAACCATCTTATTCCTGTCATCTTACTTCATTCTCCCACAATTACCAACACAGCGCCACCGGAGGTCAGCGCACTCTCCTGAGTCTGTCGATTCTGTCTCCTCCAACTTTTTAAATTCCCACTGGGAACCAGATGGAAACCTGAAAGAAAATCCTTCAGGGGTGGTGTTTAACCCTGAGGAAACTGTCACAGTAATACCATACATTTTCATCCTGAAAGTGGTTTTGTATTTTCCTACCCCAAGGTAGACTCCTTTGTGCACAAGGAGATTCACTTCTCTTTCATAAGCATTGCCACTTAATTTCTTGCCAGCATTAGGATTGCTTCCTTTCACTGGTACAGTATAAAGCAGAAAATCTTTCCATGAGTATGTACCATCAAGAATCCTAATATCACCTAAAGAATTAAAAAAATGGACTTGGAAACCAGAGGTGGTTTGATGCCCAAACAACTGCTCAGGGTGCCAAACTTGACAGGGAGCATCAGCATGGCATGGAAGGAGACAAGGAGACTATTGGTACAGCTTTGGATGAACTGCAGGAGGGAGATTACATATCTGAATGGTTCCATGTGAATAGCTTTCTCTATGTAGGAAAATAGTTTGTATGGGTATATAGTGTTTGCAGGTATTACACTGATGAGACCCTTTAGAATCTTGTAACACTTATGTCAGAAAAGAGTACTGCGGAACAAGCAATATACAGAGATAGCAGTTTGAACAAGGACAGCCTCAGAAGCACATCACAGCTGCTCCTGAGATTGACAAAAACACTGAGCCAAATTAGCTGGGATGGGCATTCCCAAGTTCATCCTGGGAGGACGCCACTATTTTAAAGAGTGAGCTCCCACCTTGTAATTCCTTTAAACTGAACCGTGGGGTCCCAATTCTGGTTGGGACCACCATGGCCCGATGGGGGTGGATTCTACTCACCACCCATGCCATTTTTCCAGCCCCAAATGGCACTGCGGGGGGGGGGAGTGTTGGTAAAGGTTCTAAGGTCACATGGGCACGCAGGAGCTCTTAAAAATGGCGCTGGGGGGGGGGGGGGAGTGTTGGTAGAGGTTCTAAGGTCACATGGGAACGAAGGAGATTCTAAGGTGGCTATAGAGTTCACAAGTCTCTCTCAGAAGCAGAGGTGCCTACAATGATCTCTAGCATTATATTTTAGAAGTGGAGGCCCGCAACAAAATGTTGCGTACTGTGTTGTAGTTTAATTTAAGTTGTAGTTGTAATCGCTGTC